ACTCCTGCAGTTCTAAATTTAAAAGCTGTGCAAATTTCTTTCCACAGTTATAAGCTTATAATATTCGACAGTTGTTATGTTGGTCCAGAGTTTTGTGTAACGCGTGTTTCGCGGCGTTTGTGTTTAAACCTCGTATGAGTGTTCCAAATGAGTTTTTATTCTTGTCTAGTCGTAAATATTTAACTTGGTGTGCAGTCGGTTGAGGATAATAGAAACGCATTGAGGATAATAGCGAAGAGATAATAGACAATACCAAGTCGTAAAGAGAAAGTTATATACTAGCTATTGTTCCAAATTCGCCTCTGGCGAACCGGAGCTGTAGGGATGTTCTGTCTGTCTGGAACGAACCTTGAGCAATAACTACGTGGAATAGGTTCACTCTGAGAAAGGGCGTTTTCGTTATGCATACAATTGTTTGAAGAAGCCTTCATAATTATGCATTGACAAAACGAACAAGAATGGAATGTATATAGTTGTAGTTGCAATTTAATTTTTCGAACTTAAAACTTCCCTAAGTATTCTTTTACACGAAAGGAACTTCTCCTATTCGGACATGTTTAGTATAAGTATTGCCGAAGCGAGTACTACTTCTATTTATCTAAGCAGTGCATTATGTATCATATTCCAATCCTAGCCCTAATTTTGGTTTTTTGAGGTATCGAAAACCACAGCATTTCCACCCACGACGAACGTAGGGTACCTACACCACTTTTCATTACGAAGTATTTTATAACAAGTACTCGGTGCTCTCTTTAATGAAATATTCGATTTTCATCCATACCTCTTTACACAAATTATTATAACCTTTGTAATGACCAGTGACTAAGCCTAATCGTTGCCAATAAACTAATAACTACCCACTCACCATTGACATTTAACATCCAACAATTACCTACAATAATAAGCGTCCATTGTATACAAACGTCAATACGGGGGGTGGTCATGAAATTGTCCGGGCTTAAAAATAATTCCAATATCGTGTTGCAAGCTGGCCTACCCCATCTGTACCCGTAGTCATTAATAGATATATTTTAATTATGTGGGACACATTTGTTAATTAAATTCAATAAAATGTTAATTAAATTCACAATTAATTTCACTATTTTTCGTGGTCCGCTTGACCAATTAATATCCCTCAATTAATTAAGGTTTTAAGTTGAGATAAAAAAGTCAATGTCACGAGCGAGATTCGAACCCACGACCTTCGGCTTGATACGCCGCTGCTCCACCACTTGAGCTAACGTGAGTTCGATCCACTCGGGCACTAACTTACCATCTCAACCCCACATTTTGAATTCTCCCCCCTGTTTGCCATTTTTCAAATGTCGTGTAATCTATTTGATTCTCGGCGACAAATGAAATGACCACGGAGAACTTTTTCGTGAAGATATACTAAAATAAAACCTGTTTTAGTTCAACCAATACCTTACACATAAAGATTAATTAATTGAAATAAATTATTTTTATAAAGGAGAAGAGTAAAATGAAATAATTTTTTTATTCCGTTACCACCTAAACCACAATAAACTTATAGTTTTTTAAATCAAATTTAATTCATTATTTTAAAGAAAAATAAAATTCAAAATGGGTTTTATTTTTGTTACGTCTTATTTTAAATAATTCATTAAATAATTAACAAAATTCACTATTTTTCGTGGTCCGCTTGACCAATTAATACCATTCAAATAATTAAGGTTTTTAATTGAGATAAAAAGCCAGTTTCATGAGTGCGATTCGAACTCACGACCTTCGGCTAGATATGCCTAAACGGCTTGAGATGCCGCTACTCTACCACTTGAGCTAACGAGACCTCGTGACACAGACTTTTTATCTCAACTTAAAATTTTAATTACTTGTAATTAATAAAACATTTAGATGAGATCAGAATCTTTATACTTTTCATTGGCGTAATATACTTTGAACATCATGATAATTTTTAACAAACTAGACAGATTCCGATGTATATGTGCAAACTGCACCAAAAATCTAGCATAAATGCTAAATGTCGGATTAAAACAATTTTTATCGCAGTACTTCCAAATTATTTGTCATGCACCGGCAAAAATTTTTCATGAGGTCTATAAAGCACCAAAAATAAACAACCATGATAGATATAGTTTATTAGTAGCCAGTGAATTTCACTGCAATAATTGTATTAATGTGAAATTATCAAATGTATTAATTATCATCGTAATTATGTGTGTAACGGTATCTTCTTGATACAACAAGACGGATTCAATTCTGAATCCTGTTTATTTGGAACAAAGCCCCAGAGGTTATGTTCTCAACTGAATACAGATCAGGTGCCTTTTTATAATATAATTTAATCCGGGTTTCAAAACAATTTAAATTAATAAATTGTTATTATACAATTTTCTTTTTAAATTTTGAAACACACAATTAATTTTTTTAAAATTTAAATAAACGGGAATTTCAGGCAAACCGTTTGCGGACCATTTGGTAAAAGGGTGATGGGTACTCACTAATTATATTCAATCTGCTTTGGACCAAAGCACTCTTTTTTTATGGATTCCAACACTTTCTAAACTCTTTTCTAGAATCTCACACTTCTTTCTGTCTCTCATCTACACGGATAATTTCTCGACTGATTATAAAATAGGTATGATGATTCTAATCGTGAAGATACTCTTTTATTTTCTCTCTAATCATAAAATTACAACATAGTCACTATGAAATACATTGAAATTTGCGATATGTAAAGATGTAGCGAAGAATCTTATAGAAAAACTTTTAAATTTTTTCGGTGATATTAAATTATATATTTTATTCACTAGTTTTCGTGGTGTTCTTGACCAATTAATATCATTCAATTAATTAAAGGTTTGTAGTTGAGATGAAAAAGTAAGTGTCACGAGCGGGATTCGAACCCACGACCTTCGGCTTGATACGCCGCTACTCTACCACTTGAGCTATCGTTCCACTCGAGGTCACAAGTCACAATAGCTCAAGTGGTAGAGCAGCGGCGTATCTAGCCAAAGATCGTGGGTTCGAAACCTGCTCGTGGCACTGACTTTTTTATCTCAACTAAAAACCTTAATTAATTGAATATATATTTTATTATCTGCTGTATTCAAAACAATATTCAAAGCTACCAACTCATTATAAGGAGCCAAGGATTCTTTCTAATCGGAGAAAAAGCCATCATTTTCTGTTATATTACATCAAAATTTTACAGAAAACAATACTGGGGCAGCATAACTTAACAACAAACAAATAAAGAGAAAAATCATTCAATTTGTCAATAACTCTATGCAAGTGAGGAGTTCATCTTTTATTGATGTACTTAGACAACCTTGTGGAATTATCATTTTATTATATTGAAACAGAAATGAAATTAAATTTACTAAACAAAATATATTTTGCAGGCTACAAGTTTAACTTTAATATCAAATAACAGTGGTTTTTGAGAGAAAAGTTGCTCAATTGCTCAATGTGTCCCACCTAATTGAATGGTGTCATTCCTTGGCTCCATATAAGAAGCGAGAAGGAATGCTGCCCAATACGATAATTGTTCTCGAGTCCAAGAAACATTGGGTATTATGTGTAACTTAATCGTGTGAGGATGACCGTTCTTCTACTCGGTCACATATCGACAATGCTTTTAATATGCGAAACAATAATTGTTTCATATGCAATACATGTCAAGTGTAAACAAATAGCATTAGTAATGGAATACGAAAGGAAATTATATCATAAAATTTAAATTCACTATTTTCGTGGTCCGCTTGACCAATTAATATGTTACAATGAATTAAGGTTTTTAGTTGAGATGAAAAAAAGTTAATGGCACGAGAGGGATTCGAACCCACGACCTTCGGCTAGATACGAAGCTGCTCTACCACTTGAGCTCTCGTGACCTCGATCCACTGGGACACTAACTTCCCATCTCAACCCCTCCTTTTGAATTTTTTTTAATCTCAACTAAAAACCTTAGTGAGTTTAATGATTTAAAATGAAGTATACTTCACTTAAGCTCTCCGTGGCCATTTCATTTGTCGTCGAGAATCCAATCCGATTACACGACATTTGAAAAATGGCAAAAGGAGGGAAAACTCATAATGTGGGGTTGAGATGGGGAGTTGATGTCCGAGTGGATCGATGTCACGATAGCTCAAGTGGTAGAGCAGCGGCGTATCTAGCCGAAGGTCGTGGGTTCGAATCCCTCCCGTGCCATTAACTTTTTTTCATCTCAACTAAAAACCTTAATTAATTGTAACATAAAATTTAAAATATTTCCATTAATTTAATTTTGTGATAAAATGTTTTATGATCTAAGTTTTTGGTTAGTTTTGAGAACTAAAATATCAATTATTTTTTATGACTTATATTTCGATCGCCATGCATTTCGGTCTACGTCCATGGTGCCTTTTCAAAATTGTTATTTTGGCTCAATAGAACTTCTAGTTCCCAAAAACAACCAACAACCTAGATTATACAATTTAACGTTGTGATATGTAACAAACTTTGTTTTTGTTATTATTAAGCTAAAAGGGAAATATAAATTTATTTTTGTGTGGTGTTTAGTGACTGTTCCTTAATGATTATTTGGAGGTCGTGAGATGCGGTCTGGTGAGAAGTAGGTTTTAGAAAAACAGTTTTTTTTATCGGGCCAACGTTTCGATCTTTATTGAGATCATCTTCAGGGCTCAAAGTGTTTTTGTTCCGTGTAGATGTGTCATTCTTGTCTATCGTGTTGAGAGTGCCCGACAGACATGAATGACACATCTACACGGTAAACAAGCATTTTGAGCCCTGAAGATGATCTTAAAAAAGATCGAAACGTAGAAGCACGATAAAGAAAATGTTTTTCTAAAAACTACGTCACACCAGACCCCATCTCACGACCTCCAAATAATTAGGTGTCATATTCCTGTCATTTTTTACTTGATTTTTTTAATATTTGTAATTCTTATATTAATCTTTTTTTAAGTAAACTCAATCAAGCAATACTAACTGTTTTTTTTCCGTTTTGATTTCAGGAAGTTTCTGTGTTCGTGTTTGAAAAAAAGTGTGCGGAAAAGCTCCACAAGCCTAAACGGAAAGAGACCGTTACGGAATTATTACGGGAAAGCGTTAGGCGGTTGGAGAGATTCAGGCATGCCAAGATTCTACAGGTGGGTAGGCTTTTCAACCCTCCCCTCGCCCTGCTTCTTCCACAGGCTCAACCCCGTAAAAGTTTTAATTTGATTTTCTTAATAACGTCCCCGGATTTATACGTATATTTAAGCTTAGGGAGTCAACTTAATTTCCACCCGGACAAATGAGTTAAAAACTTTTATATTTTTCTTTCTCAAATTATAAATGAATATTTTGTCTCATTTTTAAACAAAAGATAAATTTCTGTTAAAATTTATAAATGCTTTTATAATGATGTGGTAATTTTCTGCTTTTATAATCGTCTGACACAAGGTTTATGGGTTGACATGTTCTTTGATATACTTATCTTTTGTAAAATGACACTGGGGTATTCACAATCTTTGTGTTAACCCTGTTAACTCTGTTAGGTCCTGTTAGATCGAGACAAATAATGAAATAGACTTGTAAGAAACGGCTAGTGAACTACTACTCGATGTAACTAGCCAGGGCTAAAATTAGATGTTAGGTCGAAAATGTAGTCACATTACTATCCGTTAGGGCGTAGGTAACCAATATGGCAGCCATAACATTAACAGCTGTTTTTTGTTTACATGTATTTTTATTTATAACTACTCTTTAATTGAATCAGAACATTACATTTCTTTTGTTAATTTCTGGCCTTTTCTTATATTTTCATTCATAACAGATATATCCATAACCTATAAAGTTATAGTATTTTAGACGATAGGATAGAGGTTATGTCGGTAAGAATTGAAGTGTGTCATTTGTTAGTACTTTTCGAGTGCATAGATAGTATTTTGAATGAAATAGTAAATTAATTTTCCTTTTTTATTATCTTCTGGCATCACACAATTTAAAACAAAAGAAAACCAAAACAAACAAAAACCTTCCAAGATTGTTATGGCTTTATTTTTAGTTCTACTTATCGCCACGCGCAGCGAAAGAAGGGTGCGTTCTCGATCTTACTGGACATTTCTCTATTCGAGTTAACACGAGGTAACATCTTACAAACATCGTGAATAACCCTATATTCCTCATTTTTACTTCCGGCTAGTATCCCATTCCGACTGACGTTGAAACTGACCTGTTTATATGGCATATTTGGCGTCCATTGTTTACTAATAAAGCACATTTTCTTGAAGACATTATGATCTGACAAATCGATTAAGTTTTCTTCCCATCCACTTCGTACCATGGCCACTGTCAAAACCAATTGAGGTTCCTGAAAGATTAATGAATGGAAAAAATAACTTTGTTTTCAAAAAGACAAAACTGTTTTACAACGGTCTCGTTTTCTAAGGGGAGGGAATATGTTTAATTATGTTTAAATTCAATTTATTGTAGTGCATCTACTCTTTGCTGATTATTCCTTGCCAGTTAAATTAATACTTCTTTAATTAGTAAAATACAACTTAAAGGATTTGGTCAATTGGGAATAGCTCTTGCCATTACTTGACTCGTGGCCACGGAGAGCTTTAGTGAAGTATACTTCATTTAAATTCATTAAATTCACTAATTTCGTGGTCCGCTTGACCAATTAATATATTACAAGTAATTAAGGTTTTTAGTTGAGATAAAAAAGTCAATGGCACGAGCGGGATTCGAACCAACGATCTTCGACTAGATAAAAAGCTATCCGTTCTCGCTTTCCTGTCGCTACATGGAGGGGAGTGCCTGGACATAGTTTGTTGTTATAAATAATGAAGTGAGTATGATGGTTAAACTTGTCTATGCCAAAAAATGCATTTTAAAAAACAAAATGTTTAAAATATAAACGAGCAATTACGTTTATTGCGAAATAGTTATTTCATTGTTAGATAAACAGTTATGTCGAAAAGTACCCTTCAAAATATAAACCTTCGTTTCAATACATTTATTTTACCATTCATCCAAGAATACAAGACATTCGTATTTATTAGTGAACCTGTTATAGGTAAAACAATGGTAGCTTTATTTCCGTTTTAAGGCTGAAAAGAAAATCGACTAAAACAGCTTCTTAACGTCGGGGATTTAAGCCGGGTGAGGCAACACGGTAATCCTTTTGCGGTCTTTTTGCGGCACTTACGTAATCCGTTCCATCAAAGCGGTCTACTTTCCTTGTAATATCGCATAATGTATGTCAAACGGTTGGATTTTAAATTCAGATTGTGAAACGTTTTAATTATGATGCAAGGTGCAGCAAGAAATCATCGCATTGTAGACGTCTGTAACATGCGTGTGCAGATTTAACTTGTACAATTCAGCAATCCGTTCCTCAATGTTAATCCAAAACTAGAATTATTTCGAATTTGTTGTCACATTTTTTTTTCACTCACGTAATGTTGTGATTTTGTTGATCATTAAAAAAAGGATGACAGTGAAAATATCAGAAACAGCGGAAATCCTGAAAAAGGCTGTTATGCAGGGTTTCGTTTGTAGATGGCTGGGATGAATTTGTCTTGAATAGAAAACGTTAAAAAATGTGTATTTACTATTGGTAAGTCTACATGAAAATTTCTATATGTCAAAAAATATACAGGGTTACAGTAAAACTTTAAAATTTAAAGACCTTGCCTTAACTTCCGACTCATCGTTTTTCAATATTTAAATTCACTAATTTCGTGGTCCGCTTGACCAATTAATATATTACAATTAATTAAGGTTTTTAGTTGAGATAAAAAAGTCAATGGCACGAGCGGGATTCGAACCCACGATCTTCGGCTAGATACGCCGCTGCTCTACCACTTGAGCTATCGTGACCTCGATCCACTCGGACCTCCCATCTCAACCGCACCTTTTGAATTTTTCCCTCCTTTTTGCCATTTTTCAAATCTTTTTCACTATTTTTTAAATCCATTATATTTAGTGGTCTGATTGATCAAATTACTTATTTCAATTACTTCATCTTTTTATGTAAGGTTTTGGTTGAAATGAAAAAGTCAGTGTCACGATTGGGATTCGAACACACGACCTTCGGTAGCCGCAGAAAGTTGGTTCGAATTCTGCTCGTGACACTGACTTTACCATTTCAACCAAAACCTTACATGAAAAGATGACGTATTTTTTAAGTTGAAATCAATGCCGCAATCCGACTATCAATTGATAAAAAAAAACGGAGTACAACAACTAGTATTCTTTTTGGAAAAAACATAATTTTATTTGCTATTTGTTTAATAATTAAACAAATAATTATTGTTATGGTTAACAATTATTGTTCTCACTTCTTGTTTATTGCATGCTTTTAAAAAAAATTGTTAAACATAATGTCTAATTGACAAATTAAATTAAACAAAAGGTCTCATGAAGAGGGTTGCAACCTGCATTTTATGTTCGGGCTGCCTACACTGGTTTAAAGTGTAAAGACCCCATTTAACCACCCTTATTGGGTGTCAATTATGCTTAAGTATCATACGTCGTTGTTGCAGAGAAACATCTAGTACAATTAGTAAAATCTCCCTCAAGAAATTTACAAACTGAACTCTAATTAAATTAATTCGGATGAGATAGGAATCAGTTAATTTATTTTAGTGAAGGGTACACAAAATATTGATGCTGCAAACCTCTTCGTTCCGAACACAGTACAAAATTCGGCAGTTTTCTTCTGATTAAGTAGTAACTTTTGATTTTCACGGTTATTTATTATGTGTAGCGATTAGTGACCGTTAGTCAATGATTATTCAGAAATCGTGAGATGCGGTCTGGTGTAATGTAGGTTTCAAAAAAACATTTTCTTTGTCGTGCCAACGTTTCGATCTTTATTGAGCCCTGAAGATGATCTCAATAAAGATCGAAACGTTGGCTCGATAAAGAAAATGTTTTTCTGAAACCTACATCACATCAGACCGCATCTAACGATTTCTGAATAATCAATTATTTATTATTGTAGAATTTTTTTCAAAGAAATCGACATTTCCACACTGGAGGCCTGTCATAATCACACTTTTGAAAAATATTGAACAGCATACTCACTCCACCATTTATCATTTCTATGTCAAAATCAGTTCCCGAAGACCGAAATGCAGTGACAATTGATGGAGCATTTTTTATGAGGTCAGAACATGCTAGTTTGATCCAGAATCCCTAGGGAGACAGTTTTTGGAATTTATAGGCTATCTGTTTGGCATGAGTTAATTGCTCTGATAAATTCTATTTTTTTATTCTCACGCTTATCATAGGCTATCAGTCTTTTAGTAGATGGCTATTCAGACCTTTGGAGACACCCTAATGTTTGTCTTGTGCACTTCTTAAAAAAAATATTTGTACTTTACTGAGTTGGGTGTTCAAGCTTTCACGAAAAAACCGCCCCGAAATCGATCATCGACCTGATAGTTGACCTATAAAACAGAAAGACTGTGGAAGGGTCCCACCCCACCGAGAGCTCGAGGCGATTTGTAGAATGTTATAAAGCCGCTCCTCTTTCGCAAGAAGCAAATTAATATGGTCTGTCCAATTTGAACTGGAGTTAATCTGAAGCCCATATCTGAGGATTTGACTGGGGACGTATAATGGCCCATTTGAATATTATCAGTCATTCTACGGTTTCGGTTTCTCGTATATGGGCGTAAGGGTTCTGAGAGATTTCTCGACCCTTTAAATACAACCATTTTTGTAGTTCTGGAATGAAATTCACCAATTTATCCCAGCATTCCGACGTTTTCCTTTTATGTGTACAAATAAGCCAACTGGACAGTACGGACATTATTGGGGACAATATACTACAAGTCAGCAACATACTGGGCAGAGCTGACACCTCTCCTTTTGGATGATCTGAAGAGACCTTTGAGCTCTCCGGTCGCACTTAATTGTAATGTATTAATTGGTCAAGCGGACCATGAAATTAGTGAATTTAATGAACTAAAATGAAGTACATTTCACTAAAGCTCTCCGTGGCCATTTCATTTGTCGTCGAGAATCCAATCCGATTACACGACATTTGAAAAATGGCAAAAAGGATGGAAAACTCATAAGGTGGAGTTGAGATAGGAAGTTGATGTCCAAGCGGATCGAAGTCACTTGAGCGTGGTACAGCAGCGGCGTA